CTGCTGGTTTGTGGCAGCCTGTGCCTGTATTGCAGAACGGAAAAATCTTCTGAGAAAGGTACATGTCCATGTATTTTTCTCTATATACATTATAACCTTAACGATCAGATTTGGTAAACGTTGAAAATTCTTACTGAACTAAATAATCAATGGCTCAATCACTCGCTTGTTTTGTGGCTCGCATATGTCACAAACAGGGACGTTTGTTAATTTAAGTTAATAATTTTAAAACCATCCTTTTGTTAGATATTTAATACGTTAATCTGGAATAATTACATGAAATAGTGATTTAATTAAAACATTTTGTAATCAGTTTACTACACTGTAATGTCGCAAAGTTTTACTGTACGTGAGTTGTGTGAGAGAAAAACGAACGACAAGGGAAATTAAAGGCTGTAAATTTCTAAGATATTGCCATACATGCGTGAATGGAAATAATGCGATTCTCAGTTAACCTTGGACTTTAAATAGGGTATGACTTTCTCGACACTACGTAATTAACGTCTCTCAAATGGCGAATAGATTCTCATTGGTTAAGAAATTAATAACACCAGGAACCTTAAATTTTTCCTGACAACGATGAGACAACTTAAGCCCCACCTCTCTGTCGTACGGAACGTTATCATTGGATCATTTATACACTCGTTGACATTTGCTGACGAATGTCTATTTCAACAGTGAATGAAAGGCTGTGTAAATTTCAGACGCTAATCATGTAACGTCGAAAATACCACGCCTTACTGAAAGTTCAAGGTTAACTGAGAATTGTAATAAAAATCCATCATCTTCGCTAGTCCAGGGTTTTTGGTCCGTTTATGGGGAGCAGAAAACCCTTGGCTAGCAAAGATAAAATCTCTCGAACTGGACACTTCAATGACATACATTCATAATTATCTTTTTGACTTATTACAGATAGTTCCCGATATTGAGCAGCAGGATTGGGGTAAAGGCCGAAAGTATGCTGGAATATTCCATTTTAAGTTCTGGCAGTGTGGGGAATGGGTGGATGTCGTCATAGACGATTATCTCCCCACACGTCAGGGGAGATTAATCTACATGCACTCTAAATCAAGAAACGAGTTCTGGTCAGCCCTACTAGAGAAAGCCTACGCCAAGTGAGTGACAAAAACAATACTTGATAAGAATCTTTATAACATTTATGCAACACATTAGCCGCCGACTGCAGTTGCAGGTGAGCATTATTTGACTGTGATAAAAATAGATTCTAATTTTTCCAGACGTTATTTTTAGATTATTCGGGGATTACGAGTCGCTGGTTGCTGGGAAAGCTAAGGACGCAATGGTTGATATGACAGGGGGCGTGGCTGAGGGAATAGAAATCAACGACTATAATTCTACAGAGGAGAGGAAAAGGCTCTTTAAGATTCTGCGAAAATCCAAAGAAGACAAGTCTTTGATGAGCACATCCATTGCCGTATGCATCTGAAACATTTCACTAATAAAATTTCAAATCTCGAGAGATCCGTAACTTATAATGCAATTTTAATACTAGAATTTCATTTCAAATTATTTTTGTCTCTAACAATTGATCTCTATATTGTGATATATTGAGTTGCTCTCTGAAATAGACAGCATGAACTTATTGCTTTAGGCGACCAGGGCAGAGATGGAGGAAACGCTTGCTTGTGGTCTGGTAAAGGGCCACGCCTACAGCATAACTGACGTCAGAAAAATAAAGCTGGGAACGGGACTGAAGTCCATATTTAGCAGAGAAAAAATCCATATGATTCGATGCCGCAACCCATGGGGCGGTACCGAATGGAAAGGGGCGTGGAGCGATGGGTTGGTACTTTAAAGGAAAACTACGCAAAAAGAAGTTGAGCCTCAGAATGACAAATGTTCTTTTAATAATAATCTGGTAGCAATTTAGATAAAAGTGATCCGAAAATTTATTGCACTTGAAAACTGGAGTAAAGCGATATCTTGTAATATTGTAGAGAATTTTATTTCTAGGTCCCCGGAATGGAAGAAAGTGAGTGAAAGTGAGAAAAAAGAACTTGGGTTAACATTTGACGAAAATGGCGAATTTTGGTAAGAAAGACATTTCAGAGCATTTCCAAATTACATCTGTAAAAGAACGTTAAGCGTATATTGAACAAGTGAAGAAAATAACGGAATTGTATCTATCTTGCAGGATGTCATTTGAGGATTTCTGCCAGTATTTCACCAGTATTGATATATGCCACATTATCAATACCTCCCTATTTTCTCTCTCCAAGACGTGGAAGGAGGGTAAAGCGGAGGGGGAGTGGAAGAGGAACCGATGTGGAGGCTGTGGAAACAACGGGACGTTTCTAGAAAATCCACAAGTGAGTAGTTTCTTGTGTTTGCATTATAACAACAATTGTGATGTTTTGATCATGAAATTTGAGAAGAAATATAAAGAATCTTTTTAGTGATTTTCTTAACTTTCTTAACTTCTTTCTGTGCCGTCACATGACGTCGGAATTTACGGAGACAGCCGAGCGTCTGGTTGAACAAGACTACTTGTGCACTGTTGAAATACGTTGTAGAGTAGATGCATTTCTTTTCTTCTAAGCTATCTACAAAGAAAGAAAATAACGTATCCCTTCGTAAAGAAAAATAAAATTATTATCCCTGGTCTTTTGTATGATTTGTAAAAATTTTGCATGGAACTTAGCAAAGGAATTTTGGGAATGTTTCACATTCCTTTCCGAATTTTTTCTTATATGTTAGTATATTGAGTTCGCCGCGCTAACTATAATATAGAGATTTTTGAATTCAAAACTACTTAATATACCCGTAAAATTAACAAATATCCAAATACATGTACAATACATTTTCATGTTGACGTTCTTCCTTTGTTTTAGTACATGTTTGAGATAAATGATGCAGACGAAGAACTCTTGGTATCGCTGGAACAATACGACAGACGAAGAGAGAAAGACCAGGGAAAATCAAACTACACAATTGGCATTACTATAATGAAAGTAAGGTTATGTTTATCTTATAGGACACAGATGTTTTCGCCTTCATATTATACAATTATGCTACATAATTATGATATAATACATGTATAAAGAAAACACTAACATTAATTTTGTAATCGTTTTTTCAAAAGGCAGATCTAAACCGGAAGTACAGAATGCACGACAGATTAGAAAGGGTACATTCCGGACCGTTCTCTAACGCCAGAAACGTGTTCGCTCGTGTTACTCTGCACCCCGGACGTTACATCATCATTCCGTCCACCTTTGATCCGGGTTGTCTTGGCAAATACGTTTTAAGGATGTATTGCAATTGTAATATCAACCTCAGGTATTATGTCAGATTTTTTCATCATTAAGTACATATATAGAAAAATTTTGCAGAGAAAATTTAAAAAAAAAATGGTCGGTCACGTTATTTATTACATTATTAGTGAAAAAAATTAAATCTCAATTTTGATCCTGTTTTTTGTAAACCAGAGAGTTGTGGCTAGATGAACCACCCCCTCCCACTCTGTGCGGAATTCAAACCAACCTAAAGAAGAGAAAAACATGCGCAACGCAGGTTACCATGGTGAAGGGGGAGGGGTTTCCGGGAAACGATAACAAAGGTTGTAGGCTATCATTTTGTCTTTAAATACAATATTAATGCTCTAGGGAGGCTGGGTATCATCAAATTTAACTTAATTTTTTATATATGATATCTTAAGCTGTTATTATCATTTGACGAAGAAAAATTTCAAACATTTTAGTTTTAAAATTTGACCATTTTTGTATATCTTCATATGGAGCTCTTCTCCAAAAGGAGATCAATATAGTCTAAAAATGGCCGCGCCCCCAGCCCTCTTAACAGGAACGATTTATTTAGTCTTAGCAACAGTTTCGTTTACAATTTCCCCCTCTTTGTTCCTTTGCAGGTAACATTTATTGTAAAATCATGTGTGAGGGTAAAGTATTCAGGACAAGAGTATGCAAGAGCTCCTCAAAACCAGAATGGAATGACAGGGTAACATTTTATAGGAAAAAGCCAGAGGAGGACATTTCTATAGAGGTAACTTACATGTACTGTATACAGGGAAATTTTCGCCCCCGTTTTATTTTCGCCCCTTTCGCCCTACCCTCATTTGGGCGAATTTAAAACGGGGCAAAACGAATTAATACAGTATAACTTCTTTAATAAAACTATGACTGGGCGAATTTAAGACGGGGCTAAATTGTTTGCAAGTGTGAAAGGGCGAAAATTAAACGGGGCGAAAATAACCCTGTATACAGTATTTAAAGAGAAAATTAAAGTCAAGTGTTATTTTTTTTTTTTAAAAAAGTCATATAGATTCTTTCTAATTTATTAGGTCATTAAGTTTATTCTGCATTTTGATAATATTTCCAAACATTCTGAGATATAATTGTAAGGTATGGGACAACAGCATTATAAAAGACGAGTTTCTGGGCGAGTGTGTGATTCCTATGTCAGAGAGCGCCACGTATCGAGGAGGAAACACCATTAGGCGGTATGACCTGAATTCCCGACAGAATGGTAATGGAACCGAGAAAAAAGCGGGATACATTTGGCTCAAGATTCTTCACACGAACGAAATGGACAGGGTTTGAAAAAAAAATGTTGTTTGGGGGGGGGGGGGGGGGGGGTGATCGAATTCCAGGAAATTTTCAATCACGTTTAGTCAACAGAATATAATTATTGTACGACCCCGTTCTCCGTAGCCTCGAGTGCTTGGATATTCTTTTTAAGTATGCATAGGTTTACATTGTTTCATTACCTTTTAGAAATGTTCTTTTACATCGGGCTGTTCATATTTTTTTATGTACATGCAAACTATGGAATGTGTTGATTTAAATTATCATTTTTGATAGAAAACACGATTTTATGGAGTTTCAGCGTATCACAATCTGTTAACTCGTTCTCTGTGTTTGTTTCCTACTTATTTGAATATCTTAAAATAAGTTTATGTTCTTTATAATGAAACATCTACTGAAACATCTATAATTGATCATAGATTGTCACTTTAATTAATTTTTTGTTGTTGTCAACAAACAGATATCAATTTTTTATTTGAAAAAAAAAATCCCCGTCTTGAAAAGGGGATTATTATAGTGATTATAGTGATTAGGAGTCCGTTCTTCCGTACATCCGTACCCATAATCTTTCACTGAATCCGCACCTGACTTTCACAAAATCAAATTTACGCAGTGTCGTTTTGCACTTCCTATTTTATGTTTTGATTGAATAGGTATTTTTGGGTATCCCTTTGTTTAAAAAAAAAGACTTCGCCGTTATACTTGCAATTGACATTTGGGGAAGCTAAGTACTTAAAACTCTAGTCAATGTAAAAAGCAGCTGTATATTTTGCCTTTGGAGTATTATATTATAGTCCTCTATGTTGTTTTATATTTATACTTTAAATGTTGTACTTTATAAATTATTTTCCATATTGTTTTATATTAAACTCTTCATGTTGTGCGCTATAATATATACAAAATTATTGCTTTGTACAGTTCATATTTTTTATATTTCTAATAAAATCAAATCTTTAAAAATATTATTGTTTCGTTCTCGATCTCTCTAGTCTCACACTCATTACCAATTTGTACAATCATTCCAATCTCAAACTCATTACCCACTCTCTCACTTCCTCCAATCTCATTACCCACTCTCACTCCAATATCAAACTCATTATCCACTCTCACTCACTCCAATCTCAAACACATTACCCACTCTCTCACTCACTCCAATATCAAACTCATTATCCACTCTCACTCACTCCAATCTCAAACTCATTACCCACTCTCTCACTCACTCCAATATCAAACTCATTACCCACTCTCTCACTCACTCCAATCTCAATCTCATTACTCACTCTCTCATTCACCTAGTCATAACCAACTCTCTTAATCACTTTAGTCTGACACTTATTACACACTCTCATTAAATACAGTCTCCCATTCATTACAAACTTTCAATCCAATCCAACGTCAAACTTATTACCCACTCTCTCACTCACTCCAGTCTCATTCATTCATTCACCACTCTCTCTGTATAACACCAATCGCACACTCATCACCCATGATCTCACTTATTCTAGACTCACACTCATTACCCACTCACTTGAACAATCGAGTTTCACATTCATTACTCACTATTCAGATCACTCCAGTCTCACTTTAACTTTTCTCTCACTCAATCACCCCAGTGTCACACTCATTCTCTCACTCACTCCAGTCTCACACTCATAACCCACTCTCACTCACTCCAGTGTCGTACTCAGTGCCCACTGTCTCACTCACTGCAGGTTCTCACTCATTACCCAGTCTCCATACTCTTTACCCACTCTCTCAGTCACTGTAGTCTCACACTCATTATCCACTCCAATTTCACACTCATTTACTACTCTCTCTCTCACTTTAGTTACAGAATCATTACCCACCCTTTCGCTCAATCCAGTGTCACACTCACTGCCAACGCTCTGGTTTATTAAAGTGTCATACTAACTCACTCACTGCAGTTTCACACTCACTACAAACTTTCTCATTTACTCAAATCTAACGCTTACTACCCATCATCTCGCTCAATCCAATCTCGCCCACTCTGTTAATTCTATTGCTAACTTCAGTTAACAGACACTATCCACTTTTTCACTCACTTCACTCTCAGACTCACTCTCTCACTCACTCACACTCACTCACACCCTTGTCACACTCTCTTCTCAAATTCTCACTCATATTAGTCACATTCTCTACAAATTCTTCCACTAGGTCAAGTGTCACACTCATTTACTCTCTTACTAAATCACGTCTCACACTTACTACAGCGTAAAACTCACTCTATTTTCACACTATCCTCCCACATTCTAACTCACTCAAGGCTCACGCCAATTATCCACTCTCCCACTAACTTCAGTCTCACACTCACTACCCCTTGTCTCACTACGTCATACAATCAATACCCACTCTCTCTTATTCTCACCATTCTCACACTCACTGCCCCGTCTCTCACTATAGTTCCAAACTAAATACCCAGTCTCTCACTCACATCAGTCACATGAAAATTACCCACTCTCTCACTCACTCCAGGTTCACACTTTTGTCCACTCTCTCTCACTCAAGTCTCACAACCCATTATCTCACTCATTCGTCTCATATTCACTACCAATATACTCAAATACTCCAGTCTCACACTCATTACCCATTCTCTCAGTAACTCCAGTGTCATACACTGTCTCACTTACTCCAGTCTCACATTAATTACCCGCTCTCTCTCTCTCTCTCTCTCACCGATATCATACTTATTACCAATTCTTTCAGTAACTCCAGTTTCGTACTCAGTACCCATTGTCTCACTCACTGTAGGCTTAGATTCATTTCCCACTCTCCCACTCACTTCTGTCTCACACTTACCACCCCTTCTCTCACTCATTCGAGTTTCACACTCACTACTCAGTCTATTACTCACTACAGTCCAAATTTTACTCCCTCACTCACTCAAGTCTCTAACTCATTACCAAGTCTCAAACTCATTACCCACTCTCACTCACTTCAATCTTACACTCTCTTCCCGCTCACTCTCACAATCACTCCAATCTCACACTTTCCTCTTACTCTCTCACTCACTCCAATCTCACATTCATTACTGGATAGCAATAATGTTGGGTTTCTTGAAGGTAAAAAAAACACACATGAAAACTTTTGAGATCATGTATTTCAATTAGAAATATCAATATATTTTACAAAAAATCAACGGTCGGATTCGAAACACAATCTTCTATTATTAGCAGTCTCTTAGATTCACTTTTTCTAAACCTGAATTTATCTTAGTCCGAAAAACTTTAAAACACGGGTTCTGATGCTTTTTCTTGTCTTGGTTGGAGATGACTTCTTAAGAAGAAAAAGAACAAACTGTGTAAGCAAGAAAAATATTTGAATTTTTTTAAAAAAAGTCAGTCAACTGAAAAGTTAGAAAAAATGTTTTAAACAGAGTATCATATTTGTATCGATGTCAACAAAAAGATACCTTTTCTGAACATGTTCCATGAGTATGGTCATCCGACGACGACGAATTTGGCAAGCTTGAAGAGGGGTTAGGTATAGACTCAGCTAGATTTGGCCCATTACACTGAAAGAAAGAGAATACTAGAATTTAGCAATATCATTGGTTATATCCTGAGGGAAAAATTAATTTTAGTGCCATATGCATATTCTAAAGAAATTCAGAGAATGTGTGTCCCCCCGCTTATGGAAAAAGTAAACCATGCGCAATTCAACGGGAGGGGGGGGGGGGGGGGGGTCGGATCCCCCTGACTGAATTTGGGTATAAAGATTTGATTGCTTATTCTTTATTATGTGTATAGAAGATTCTTTTTATATTCACGTTCGATATTGTTACACAATGAATGGTGTCCAAAAAACCTTTATTAAACAATTCTAATAGATGTAATAAGTTTTTTCATAAGTACGAAAAATCTTCAAAGTCAAAAGGTCAAGGTTGTTGATACCTTATCACAAGGATTACATATATGAAGTATGAAAGCCCAAGCCCTTACCGTTCAAAAGTTATGTTCAAGGTTAAAGTTTTTTTTCAAAAGTACGAAAATCTCCAAGGTCAAGGTCAAAATGTCAAAATTGTTGGTATCCAATGAAAGGTCTTGTCACAAAAAATATATATGTGAAATATGAAAGTCCTAGTATCTACCTATTAAAAGTTATGGCCAAAGTAAAAGTATGGAATTTTATGTGTAAAAGTGGGTCAAACTCCAAGGTCAAGGTCAAAAGGTCAAATTTGGTGGTACCCAAAGAAAGGTCTTATCACAAGTAATACACATATGAAATATGAAAGATATAGCTCCACTTAATCAAAAGTTATGGGCAAGGTTAAAGTTTTTGTGACGGACAGACTGACGGACAGAAGAGTGAGATTTAATGTCCCCTCGCTTTCGCGAAAGCGGGGGACAAAAATATAAAGTCGGCCGAGAACCTGTTTTATACGTTATAACTCTCCTCATGCCCCTGTGCTAAAAATAGCGACATGTAATACAATAAATACTAATAAAACAAACGAGGCGGGACACTTTGAGAGGGGTGAGAGAGGTCCTAGAGAGTTTTGGCATAAAATTACATTGCAAAAGCTCAAAGTCGTCTTGAAATATCTCCCGGAAAGAAAACTGTTACACACAGACAGAATGTATAAATTTTTGACCTTGAACTTTGACCTCAAGATCAATAGGGGTCTTCCTTAGGCCACAGGAAGTAGCTATGTAAAATTTCTATGCAAAAGCTCAAAGAGTTCTCGAGATATCGCGCGGAAACGAAAGTGTTATGACAGACAGAATTTGCCAATTTATGGCCTTGACCTTGGACCGTTTGACCTCAAAATCAATAAGGTTCTTCTTTAGTCCATAGCTAGGGAGTTGCTTTGCAAAACTTCATTGCGGAAGTTCAAAGGGTTCTCGAGATATCGTGTGGAAACGAAAGCGTTACAGACAGACAGACGGACGGACGGAGGACAGACCCAAATTAATATCCCTTACTTTTCAAGCGGGGGACAAAAATTTCGTGAAATGTTGTTTACCTTTGTGCTCTCCTTGAAAGATTTTATGTCAAAAAGAAAGAGTTTTCTGCGAACATATGTTTCCTCAATGTTTTCTCCTCAATAGCTAGAAGTTGTCTCTCTTTGGTGGAACTCTTCAATAAAAAAAATAATTCAAGTTAATTTTAGAAGAATGGCTAACAATGTATGAAATTTTTAAAGCTCATTCAAGAGGTCATTTTGAAACTTTTTATACAACTTACTGTTGATTTCTCTTCCTCTTTTTGCAGGAATTAGCCGTGGTGTAACTTCATTGCTGAGCTTGTATTCTATAAAAATTAAAAATTAGAAAGATTTTCATTATAGCAGACAGATATAGAAGTAAAAATTTAAAACCATGAATATTTTAAAGAATAAATACCAAACCTACCCTTGAACTTTGTTCAAGTTGGTTTTGCATATGTTCTTTTAAATTTGCCATATTAATCACATTACTGATAAACTCCTAAAAAAAAAGTAGGATATGGAGATAACGAACAGTATTCAATCTCAAAGCCCATAAAACAATACACAATACAAAATAAGAGCAGAGCAAACACGGACTCCCGAGACATCAGAGGTTGGATCAGGTGTCATGGAGGAGTGAGCATCCACTGGCGACCGCTCACACCCGCCGTGTGCTCCTTGTCATGATAAGGAAATAACGGAAAAAATCCGTCGTCAATTCATTGTTTAAATAATGAACTTACAGTTGGTATGAAAAACGTCAGTCAGCATTTGACTCAATGATACATTGTATTTGCTGACAAGATCATTGTATCGACCATAGAACTTACGAAATGATGACTTTAAACGAGACTGCTGATATTCTTGTTTCATCAAATTGTCAACAATTTACATCGTTTTAGAAATTGTTCATACGCAGAGCATGCAATTGCGTATCGAATCAACTGAGATATATACGAGGGCTGTTCAATAAATAATGTCCTCGGTGCTCAGAAGGAAGCAAACGATGCTTTTGAATGATTTAGTCTTCATGATTTTACTTATTTATCTCTTTTAATTCAAACACATGTCCATAACATTTTTATCCCATTTCTGATTGTTTTTAGAACTCATTTTTTGGTATGACCCTTAGTATACTGGAAAATGGCAGATCCAATGATTTCCTGGACTTGTTTTTTCCTTCTGAAAGGTGTTTTTTTCAAGTTTGGAAATAGAAACAAGTCAAAAGGTCAAAGATCTGGCAAATATTGTTAATGTGAAAAACATTAACTTTCTATTTATCCCGAAAACACGTTTACTCTTCAGGGTGTGCGGGTTTGGACGCTGTCGTGAAGAAATTCATTGTAGTGGATTCCTGATTCTGGGTCCTTCCTCTAATAAACCTTTCGATTTTTTTTGCAAAAAAATTGCTTTCTAGACTCCTCCAGATATTAAACTGTCTCCCTGAATACGAATTTGAACAACAATACCACTAATATTTAAGAAAATTGCATATAAATCTGTCTTTGTGCTCTTGTCAGACTTTCGCCGTTTTTATCAAGTGCATCTTATGGTAAATTTTGTTTTGAGGGTTTTAATCAATAGATTCATGTTCCAATATCTGTTTGAATATAAAACAAACGGGATTACTGCAATTACTGATATTTAAAAATAATTGTTAAGACTTTCGTATACGCTGTCGTTTTTACTCATTTTTCAAAATATAGGTGACCTTTGAGTACCAAGCATTTTTACTGTCAAACGTTTCTTAAAAACAGTTTTAACTACTCCCGATATGATGTCCATCAAATTTGCTAGTCAATCATACATCATCAAATATTATTTATTGAAATTTGGCAAACAGTACATAAGTAGTTATAATTTTTGTTGACAAGGAGGGTACCCATCTTTGATGCCCATTATATAATTTTTTATCATTGAAATCCACCTACTTATCTGTCTATAAAACAGCATCGGTTGCTGTAAATGTCACATATTTCAGTGAATATTTCTTTTGGATTTTTAACAAGTTTTACAGCAGCTATAAAGTAGCTTTTATTTTCACTCTAGTTTACTGATTCTTTACCATTCATTTATAATGCAGTGTCTCGATTAGCCCTTGCATCCAATCTTCTCACGATGAAACTATGTGATGAAAAGTGGTCACATAAACTGTTATAAATTCAGTAAAGATTAAATGTTGAGAGAAAATCAAGTTTAATGTCATATGATATCTGTATTGTATGTCATACAGTTCAGGACATTATTTATTGAACAGCCCTCGTAAACTCCGTATGCAGCTGGTGATGAAGGTATATTGCTGCATAAGTAAGGGAAGTTGACGATAGAAAAGTTAGTCATCACGTTTATTATAAAGCTTGGTTGTTAGATTACCATTAGTGTCTTTTTCTAATAGAATGTCCAAGTGTGAAACAGAAGTGTCGGATTATGTGGCATCTTTTATCTCAAGCTCACCAGGATATATCGTATCGAAGTAGGAATGGAAATGACCATTATTAATTGACAATACGTCGTCGATATATCTAAATGTCGAGTTGAAGGCCACAGCAAGTGTTTTCTTCTCTTCACGTATAAGATTTTGCATAAATTCTGCTTCACATGAATATAAAAATAAGTCTACTAATAAGGGAGCGCAATTTGTACCCATGGGAATTCCAATAGATTGTTGGAATACCTGGTCTACAAAAACCACAAAAATATTGTCAATTAGAAACTCAAGCATGTTCTTGATGTCAACTTCAGAGTACTTCTGTGTGCAATCAGAATCTTTTTTAACAAAATAATTTTGCAACTGACCAATGACGAGGTAGGTAAATTTACGAGTTCCATTTTTATTGAAGAAGCAGCTGTCCATGATATCAAAAAGCCTGGATTTTAATTTGTCGTGGGGAATTGTTCTGTATAAAGTTGAAAAGTCGTAAGTCTTTAAGCTGTTGATTTTTGTAATGTCTTGCGATTTCAAATTGTCCAAGAGTTCTTTGGAATTTTCGAGTATCCACATCTGATTCACACCACTTCTTAAATATATAGTTGCACAGTACTCTTGAAGTTTTTCCTACACTACTGTCAATATCTTAGTGAGGAGTAACGAAAGAGGCTTAGTTGAACATTTATTGGAACCTGCAACGTATCTTTGTTTGTATATAAGGATTCTTATGAAGTTTCGGAATCCAGTATATATAAGGTAGTTCAAATTCATTTTGGCTCTGTGGAATATTTAAAGTATTCAAAACCGATAGGTGATTTTGAAGAATTTCTTCCTTCAAAAGGGAAGTATGAATATAAGTAGGATTACCACTTGTAGAATTAAATCGAAGTTCTTCTAGAATGCAATTTATATAATGAGCCTTACAAACGAAGACAATGTTGTTTCCTGCTTTGTCGGCAGGAACCAGTACGTACTGATCGTGTAATCTATCTAAGTCCTTTTTCACTTCTGGTTTATTGAACACAGAAGGATAGATGGTTTTCATATTGCCCTTCAGTCTTTTAATATGTGACTTTAACATGGATCTGATACATTTAATTCATTCTGACAAGGTGTCAACGTCTTCTTTTTCATATCTGGCCCATCGTCTGGCGCAATTTTCAACAGAATCCATAATATTTATGAAATTCCGACGCCATGCAGTTGAAGGATCGGGGTTCCCTATATTTAGGACCTTTTAAAGTAAGTCATCCAAGGTCCTCATTACGAACTATATTTACGTCACCTGTAAAAACGTGTCCAGCAGGACTATAGTTATAGGGCGAAGAAGAACATGAACACAAAGCAGGATTATGTTTCAGATAGTCGGTATCCAGGCCATGTAAAGTGTTTTTGTAATTGAAAAGTTTGGAAGCAGTGGTCGATGTATATTTGTAGGAAATACATGGTGTAGTCTTTAACTTGAAATATGGTGGAATACAAGACTGGACCCTTTTGTGATTAAGAATATTACTTATATTAACCGCGTCAATTCCTTTATTGGCATATTGAAGTTCAAGGAAAAGATGGATTGTTTTAGCTGCATTTTCTTCCGAGAAACGTGCGGGTTTAAAAAGCCTATGATATGCAGTATCCATAATCACAGATCCGAGCCTATATTCAGTTGACGAGGAATCTAAAATTGGATGTTCCTTGGCCTTTTCAAGAAGACTATTTAAAAGTTTCAAAGGGACAGAGTAAAGTTTTGTTCGAATATGATGTAGACCTAACTGTTGATTTACATAAGGTAGTAATGAATCAAAAGAGACGTCGTGTATTGCAGGTTTATTGTACGAACGATGCCCATACTACGCTTACGTCTCTGAGTATGGTTAAAAAGTCCCATCACTTTTACATTATTACACTGTGGACTGGAAAGATTTCCAACACTATCGACATTGTCATTACATCCATAGGGAAAGGCTGTCCCTAGTTTTCTAGGTGTACTCAGCGACGGACTATTTGTGTGGTGATAAATCTTATCGAGAATTCTAACTTTCATTGATAGAATAGAATGATCAGGTAAATTAAAATGTTTGTATAAAAGCTGCTGACCACCATGATTTATTTGAAATCGATGACCTAATATTCTTTTGTTAAACGATCCATTGGTTTCACCGACATAAACAAATCCACACAGATTACATTCTATTCCACAGATTGGAAGATTTGCAGTTCAGATTTTCCCAAGTTTTGGTATAGAAGCTCTGTCCAGTAAGATTACTGGTGAAAGAAGTGTTAGTTATCAAAATGTCAGAGTTTTACAGTTTCGCACAGAACATTTTGAAGCAGAAGACATGGGATCGGGAAAGGAATTATCCAATATATCTGTAATAGAAACCTTACATTCTTTCAATTTGGTGTATGATGTCTTGGTTTTATACCAAAACTGGGAATCTGAAGACTGTACATATGACATATGTTTAATATCCCTGAGGATTATCCGAGGGGCACCAAATGAACTCTTTGAGTCTGTGTCCCTTATAGACTCAAAGGAGTGACGCCTTTTTATACTGGGCGACGCGCCTGCCATTATCATTTCGTTATTCTGTGTACTCATGAATGAATAGGTACCGAACGAAGAGTATCCTCGGGGACAAACTGTCCATCAGCAGAGATACATGTTCGGAACTTA